ATTAACTCCACCTCTATGGGAGCCGTAGAAGGTAAAGAAAGGCTTTTCTTCTTGTCCTTTTTAAACCGCCATCTATTGGCCATTACTAAAGACTAATTTAGCCTTGCAAAATTAAGTAGCTGTGGGAATTGGCTCCCAGGATTAAAAATTTCCTTTCTCAGATAGGATTTCTCAAGAAGATTAAAATCTATCAATCCGCTTTTAAATTTAAAGTCCTTTATTGCCTTCTAGAAGTTATTATGGCCGGATCGCCCATCCGAACACCACTTCCAAATCTTCTTTTTCCACAATCTGGAGAGAAGAATCCGCTGATAACAGGAGGTGGCGTTCGCAATTCGAGTCCCCTTCTTTCTGACATGGTTACTGGTTCTCCAACCTATCCACGCTTTCCTGAGGGACCCTTCTGTGCTAATAACGTGCGATCGACATCTCCACAGCCACCTGCAAAGAAACGGTGTCTGGAGTCACAACAGCAGCAATCCACCCTAGCAGAAGGGGAAGGTCTCGCTGCACCGTCACAACCAGCTCATGAATGCAGCAGCGATTCACCGCACACTAGCGCCAGCAGCTTTTCGCCAAAGGGGGTAAGTAACTCTTAGTTAAAGGCATTTAAGGTTTGTGATTATGTAAGACTGAAAGAGCATGTGTACATTTTAAACTCTCTTTCAGTAACCCTTTAATTTAAGCTAAAAAGAGGGGCACTAAATGAACCGATGAGGAAGGCGAGGGGAGGGGAATGAAAGGACGAGAAGAAAGAGAAAAGCAATCAACACAAAAGAAAGTGCATCCACTTCTTTGCGCTAATAGCTTGCAATTTGCGTATATGTATGCGCGTTTGCGCAGATGTCATCGAGGTATTGCAAATCTCACAGAAACACAAACACACATACACATGCACACCAAAGCGCGGCGTTTTTTACCACACGCATGTACAAATACGGGCTCCGAAATAACACAATGATGAATGAGATATCAAATATGGCAAATGTCCCTACATCCACTACTGCAATCATCTTGCCTGTCACTGGTGATGTGTAAGTAACAGCTCTTCGAAAATTCCTTTCTTTATTGTTTGATATGATGCAGAATGGGCATGTGAAGCCGTTTTGGAGATTGGGACAAAACTGTGAAGATGGAGGTAATTACTTCGTTGCTCATTGGGTTTGTGGCCTTTGCAACGCCAAAGTAGTGCACAAATTGGTAAATTTTTTAAATGGCATGCAAGTTGGGCACCACAAACATTTTTTTTTCCTTCACTAATTGTAATGAATGACTCCTTTTGGCACCTCTCAAGTGGGACACCACAGCAGCTTACCGTTTGCCAAATTCCTCTAGGCATAAGCTAGAGCAAAAAGCATAAGTTAAAGTCAGTGCCGATCCTTTTAAACACAATTTTTAAATTAGGTTTTCGTGTTGAATTTAGCAAAGACGTGACTAAGTGCTAGTATGCATGGCACCTCATTAAAACAAGAAGTGATTTACAATCCAAAGAATGATATTACTTTTCTCTCTACTTGCGATCAGATAGCTTGTCGGTTTAATTCGAAGTTGGCCATGCAAAATTTCACACTCACGGTCAATCCAAATAAACTGGTTACTAAGGCAATAAGGAGTTTTAATGATTGAAGGGAAAAGGAAATTCAAATAAAGGGAGGCATTAGTTAATGGGCAGTGGTTGCATCAATTAGCGTGGTTGTTTGGTGACAGATTAACTTTCATTAGTGCTGAATAAGACTGACTGATAACTAACAAACAGTTGTGTTATCACACAAAAGTGTACATAAATGTATGCATCCTATAACATGCGTTGATGAAAGTAGTAGCTTTTAGTAGACACGAACAACTGTTATGCAATGTTGAGACAGTAGCAGCATTTGTCTGATTGATGATAATCCGGGCACAGCTGCTGATGTGCATCAGCTCGTTCATTTAATCCTCATGCCCAATTAACGAAGCCTTCAGCAAGGTTTTGCTAACTTAACCCTTTGAGGTCATCACTTTAATCCGACATTAACAGATAGATATTAGTGACCAACTTACCATCACTCTATTCCTTCCGCCCAGGAGCAGCAACCTCAGCCATCACAATCATTGCCACACATGGTACAGAATGGTGCAGAAGAGTCGCATTCCACTAAACCACATCAACCACAACAGCAACAGCCGCAGGAGTCAGAATCGCCTAAAGACCTGCTACATCATCCACCTCTGCCTCTGTGGGGAGACATTCTTCCTGATTCCACATACTCCCGTATATCTATGTTTCCAAAAAATTTTCCACCAATGTTTGTTTCTGGCTGCACCACTGCACTCACTCCAGGCATCTCTGCCAACACAGCAACTCCCAATGGTGATCCAGTGCCTCTTGGTGCTAGTGCGTTGGCAGCAGCCGCTGCTATGGCGATGAGTCCTCTGTTCCAACAGCCTCCAGGAGGTAGCTTCGTTCCTGGAAGCACGGCCGCTCCCTGGAATCCAATGCTGGCAGCAGCTGCAGCGGCATTCGCCTCTGGACGATTTCCTCCACCTGGTTTACCTTCAAGACTTCAAGGAGATACCGAAGGACCTGAGGAGAAAGATGGAGGTTCTTCCTCTAGGTCAGGGAGTCCAATGCCTCTTTCTGGTGCTGGCTCTTCTGTCGAAGGAGTGGAAGTAATGCCAGATGCAAGTCAAACCGGACACCATTGGACATTCCAAGAGCAGTTTAAACAGGTCCAGCATCTTAAAGTCCTTGCTACGTTGGTTAAAAGAGAAACGTCATCACACAAAGAACAATGGAAAAGTACTGTTTAATTAATCTGACATATCAAAGAAAGGTGAATAATCAGGCAATTACTCTTCTTAGCTACTGCTTAAAAAGAGCCAAACGCTCCCATAGGATTGATCAGCTCAGCAACGGACGGTTTAACATACTCTCGATAAATTATGCAGATTGCGTGCCCTAAGGTGTTGCAAAAAGACTGCCATACGGATGAATGCATTCAAGTCGTCCTCCTGGGACGACAACTCAGACTGTGTGTGTGTTTACGCTTGATAATAATTTCCAGCCCTAAAGGAAATGCATTCTTGGTAGTGGTGGTGGGAGTGATGATGGAAGTGCTAACATTAGCCGATGGTGTAAAACCTACTCAAAGTATAAAAAATTTAACAGATTTTATGCTCCGCTGACCCTTTTGGTCACTGGAGTATTTGATCAATTTCCGCTGATGATCTGTTCTGTGGATGCAGTTTAAACACAACACATTTTGAACACCGAGATATTTTATTTCATGCTGGAATAACAGATAATAGAAATTATTTGATTCCTTTGAACATGAGATCATTCATAGACAAGCATACATGGAAAACAAACCAACGCTCTATTTGTTTTGCTTTACCTCAAATGAGGAGTAGGTGATGATTTGGTGGTGAAAATTCATCATCGCATTGGAAGTTCTTCTAAATTTCAATTTTCGTCTGAAATCAACGTATGTGTTTTCCGAAATCTCTGGGGCATTGATCGTGCATTATTCAACGGAGAGAAGTGAGCTTCCTTCAGCAGACATCGCGAGATTGTTTTCGCACTTGACTTAATTGAATCCATCCCTTCACCATGACAGAATTAATTTTTCGTGGGGAGGAGGTAGTGAACAGGCGCGTGCACCTGGCCACGCACACCCCCCCAGGGAATACCGGGTACACCCGATTGAAATATTTATCTCTCCCCCTCTTTTCACCTTTCCCTATCTCTCTAGGCAAATATCAACCATGCCGTCATCAAATCAGTCTCGCATATCCATTCCTGATGTAGTGTTAGTTGAAGTGACTTCATTTTTTCGATCATTTACTACTTATTTTAGCTGTACGAATTATCCTCAGACCCAAAACGAAAGGAGTTTCTGGACGATCTATTCAATTTCATGCAAAAAAGAGGTATGTGAACCCATTTTTTGATGTAAAAAGGCCATTCGGACAAATGGTATACTAATTAGCCACTAAAATTGTCTTCCAGCATTAGCGCCGGTAGTTAATGAGAAAACCATATGCAACGTGCTAAGTTCACAAACAAGTTTCCCGCCACTGATTCTTATCTCTCTGAGGGAGTGTGTGTGTGTGTGTGCACACGTACAAAATAATGTTAATAATTTTATGCATGGCTTTGCCTTTCCTTCCTCCTTCCATTTGGGCATAATTAGGCAGCATAATTAACAAACTGACAGTCACACAAGCAAATCACCACCCAGAATCAAAAAAGATATTCTGCCTGTTTCTCACTTCATTTAAACTTGCATCAAAAAGAATGTGCATCGTAGACCGAAGTGGAGGCTTTTGCCAAAAAGGAAGGTAATTTGACTCACTGAACTTAGAGATCAGATGAATGACTTTTGCTTCAATTTTTAGGCTCACCCGTAAACCGAATCCCAATAATGGCAAAGCAAGTGCTGGATTTGTATGAGTTGTATAGACTTGTGGTGACCAGAGGCGGTCTAGTTGAGGTGATTAACAAGAAGCTGTGGCGTGAAATAACAAAGGGCCTTCAACTACCCTCCTCCATCACAAGTGCTGCATTCACGCTGAGAACACAGTGAGTTTTAATGTTTGATAGTTGTTTTAACTCAAGACTTGATGTTTAGTAAGTGATTTTGCCCATCTCTTGTTCTCTCACCATAGGCGAGTGAAACATTAATTGAAATGGGTAAGCAAAAGGGATGAATTTGACTCAAGCCTCCATCCACATCTTCAGCTCTCACTCTTTCACTTCGTGGTTAATAATCTCCATGGCACGACAGCTGTTGCGGTCATGTCAAAAAATTTGTGTGTGGCAGCAGGGCAATACGAATTCCACCAAATTATTTCCCTCTCCCCCTTGCCTTCCTTCTTTGCCCCCTTCCACCGCCCCACTCGGATACACATGCGCGCACGCAGCGGACAATCTTCATCATCTAATAGGCTGATAAATGTGGACGCACGCACACACCCAACCGTGCTCCGCGACTGAGGGATGAATCAACTTTGCGCATTGGGCGTTGGCGTACTGGATGGGAGATGAAAACTCATTTGCGATTGAAGGGGAAAAGTTCAGTTCATATCTCGCAATCAGAGTTTTGATGGTTCAAACCAATTTACCTAAATCGGTAAAATTGGGTGGTTGGATGATTAAGATTTAAAAATTCCCTTCAGAAAAGGAGTTATTGAACTGTACCACAAACAGTAGCGATTAAATGAAGTGTACCATAATTAGATGGAACACAAATTATTTTACCTATTGAACTAACTTCTCCCCCTCATCTCACGATATTTCTGCTTAAATACGAATAGGTAAGAAGAAAAAAATTGAGATCACTCCCGCCAGGCTTCCAATTTGGGAAACAATAATTTGTAAATTCAAAAGTTGATTTGTAATGGTCAACTCACTTTGTGGCTATCAAGCGTCAAACCTCCAACACTCTTAGCATCTGTGACGTGCAAAATGACAGTTGGTGTGGCTTAAATTTGTGAACTTGAACACAAAATGTTGACTCCAGATATGGGTTAACGGAAGCCTATCCGAGGGTAAAATTTAACGCGGTGATGACTCATGACAACTTGGTGCAGGACGTAACAGGTAGAATGTTTGTGGCAGCAAAAGTCACAAACAGTTGTGTGGCACAGCTGTTGTTTTCGCGCCCACACATTAAATTCAATTATTATTAACCACAGTTAGGGCTAACCGCTACTGAGTCACTGATACAAACAGTTGTGTGCGTTATTAAACCCCTAGGTACATGAAATACCTCTATCCCTATGAGTGTGAAAAACTGGCTCTCAGCACACCCAGTGAACTGCAGGCCGCAATTGATGGAAACCGACGTGAGGCGAGGCGTTCTTCCTACAGCTTTGAGTATCCCATGCTCATGGGTCCCAGCTCAAGCACTGGTGCACCGTCGGGCGCCACAGGACAGCCACTGTCAAATGCGCCACTTGGACCGACATTCTCCCATCCACCTCCTCCTCATCATCCCCTCCTTGCACCCCCACCCCCACCACCACCACCGCCGTCCGTTTCTGCCTCCTGCGGACCGTCACTTTTGCCTCCAGGCCTGCTTCTGCCTCCAGGATTTCCAACTTCCAATTCCAGTAGAAATGGAAGTATATTCCCAGATGCACCCTTCTTTGGTTTCCCCAGTCTGGTGGTGCCGACATCAACAGCTGTTGTTCCTCCACCATCCCCCACTCCTCCATCTGCATTCGATGCTAAGTCCTATTTTGACGATGACCAATTACTAGTAAGTTGGCACCTTGTTGAAATACCGAAGTGTCCAAAATCGCACTTCAAATATAAGCGAACTCTGTTTTGGTACAGAAACAGAAAAGAGCAAAGTGCCCTCAGCGTTGCCTATCTTCGTCTTCAACTACCATGGTGACAGTAGCTGCAAGTCCCAAGCCGCGGCCCAACTCAAAGCCTAATTACTCATCGCCCGCAACTTTAGAATCTGACCCAAAGGGTGAAGGTATGCCTTAAAGTAATCTTTGATCAAAAAAAAGTAAAATATAAATTAAAGCTTCATCTTTTAGCCAACCGGCAATTAAAGCCCATGAAGTTCTCTACGCTTTCTAAGTGTGCATCAGCCTTCGATTTGGACCAACGTCACTCGCCACGAGGAACTCCATCACCACGTCCTCCAGTCAATGCCGAAGCCTCCGATGAAGGTCAGCAAAGTTCTGCAACACGATTTTCTGAGTTTCTGAAACAACGTCTACCATCTAATGATGTAGAAACTTCGTCTAATTGCAACTTCACGAAAGGTGATCTAATGCAGGTAAGCTTTTATTTCCGCTAAATGTTGCTACTTATGTGCCATAAGTAGAGCATTTACAGAGGTAAAATTAAGAGAATTTAAAAGACGAAAAGTGCTATTGATTACTATTATCCGTTCGAGCAATCGCGGGAAGGAGAAAATTGTAGATGATTGAGATTTGGACGCGATTGTGTATTTCTTGAAAATAGGTTTAAATGCGAGACAATTCATTCAGTCCATATTATTATTGTTGCGCCAACGTAACTTGAGGTGACATCTCATTTATTTTGGCAAAGGAAGTAAATTTCTAATTATTATCTAGTTAGCAACTTTGGCTTTCACTACCGTCCAGAGTCCTTGATCTTCTGAATCAGTGGTGACATCGCTGGCAATGCCAATTGAAACCCAATTCCTCTTTGATAAATCAGATTAAAGTTTAAGCATGTGCATTTTAAGCACCATCATAGCGGCAATTGTATTTATTTTCATGTACTTTGCATACGTCACGAAATAGATGTATAAGTTGATCATAATTTAATTTACAAAGATTCGATCACAAATTTGTGATTTCTTACTGTAAACTTTACTTGTTCGACTGTCTGTAAAGTGGCGGTCACTTTAGCGACTAGATTGCTCATAGCTAGTAGGCAAGCCTTGGAGCTATGCTAAGAATCATGTGTATCCAGGCCGGTATAAATGTAGCTGCTCGGCCACCATCGTCCGGGTCCCTCTCAGCGTGCTTTTGTAAGATTTATTGGCTACTACGCACTGGGAGGAGGAAGAAAAGCTGTGTCTACAACGATCTGCAGATAGCACCCATTGGCTCCTCGTACGCGGCAATCAAAATGACGTCACACCTTTTACTTACCAAACCCATTCTGAATAGTTATGCCTTTTAACATCCAAGGTGAGGATTCGGGACGTCCTCGCAGACATTTAAACGTATAAAACGTAGCACTTCGGATCACCGTTGATCATTATGGGCATTAATGCCTGAGTCTGTCATTTTCTAACCATGGTAATTCTCACTCATAAGTAGTCACAATTGAGATTCGAATTAACATGTATAATTCGAGGCTAATTAAGCTGATTAAAGCTAGGCACAGCATCCTGTTTTGCTAAAAACTTTGCAAAAGAATCAGTTACGGAGAATTTAGGATGTCATACTTAACATTATTGGAGCTATAAGCGGGCCGCATGAAACGAATGTCATGGAAACTTCCGTATTTTCTGTTCTCATGAATGGTATACCGTCTTGATAAGGAAGGAAATAAAAATTTGCCCTTCTTTTCGCTCTATGTTCAGCCGCTCTCCTTAACTATCCCTATGCAGAACGCCTACCAGCAGTTCATGAGCAATACCATTCAGAAGTTGGGAGTCAGTGAGAAGAAGGATTCCATGAACGGTTGCGCAGAAGATCGTCGACAGGCAAAATCGACAGCCGCACTCCGAGAAAATGGTGATTTTTCGACATCCAACTTACAACTGGCACCAAATTTAAGGATTAGCACTCAAGCCGGTGAGTTAGCTTTCCACTTAGTGAAGTGAGCAAGTTATCCGACTGGACTTTTTAATGTTTGCACCCCTATTCTTTGAAGGTAATCAACTTGGGCTGCCGGAAAACACACTTGTCGTGTGTATGGAGGTCACTGGCGTAGTCTATCAGGGCGTACTCTTTGGCCGAATCAAACCGCCCTCGTGATAGTCGTGCTCACTTGATTTGAGTGTGCAAATCCATTTGTACAAATCACTCTATTAGTGCCCTTACTACTGCAATACGCAAGAATCTGCCAGCACCTGGTTTTTTTTACATCTATAATTCACTCAAGCTCTCAAAGTTACCATAAGTATATTCCCGCCCAGACCGATTCAGTTTGCTCACTGTCTACTAGGAGTGTGTGGGAAACGTTGCATAATAATGCGCAATGAAATTCTTCAGTTCTCTTATGCACTTAAATGCTTACTTTTTATGAACTGTTCAGTTTACTGCTAGGAATAATAACCTGTAATAAAAGTTACTATCGAAATTATTTGAAAATAAGTTGTGCCGATTATACTACTAATAACCCATAGTCAGTAGAATGCGGTTAACTTGTTTAAAGCAAGGAAATTGATTGAGACTGGTATTGTAAGCATTCATTTTGGATAGAAGACATAAGTTTAGATGCATTACTGCCTTCGATTGTTCGTGCTCTCACCTGTGATGAGATTGCGATCGTGTGCACACTGGCTGTTCCTGTTTCAGCTTGCCATCATGAACATTCGGAAAAGGAGGTCTTAATAACGTTCACGAATTGGCAAAGCTATTGTGGACTTTTACAAAACTATTTTTCCGAAATTCCCTCGTTCTTTTGCAATTGGCTTTACTCATAGGTAAGCATCGGATGGTCAGCCTCAACCACAAACGCATTCCTAAAATTTGACTGCAACTTCTTACAAAGCAAATTAGGTGATTTAGAATTCTTGAAACAGATGTAACATAAATTTGACAATATTTTTACTGTGCTAAGACGGCTCGACGACCAAAATAGAAATAGCATTCAGACGGAATATGTATCGTTAACATGACCCAGCAGCCATGCCTAGAGGAACTGCAATGGCGAAACACCAAAAGAGCTATTCATTTGAACCAAAAGTATCATGTCGTTCCTATCATTTTCGAGCATTGTCTTCAGCGTTCGCCTAGATCGACCTCGTATGTCAACTATTATAACGCAACCTAGCGTGTCAACAAAAGTCATCATCGAAGCAAAACTGAACACAACTGACTGTAACGTTACTGATCCCTACTACAAATCCCATTAGTTATGAAGGGAAAACTTTAGTGTAGGGAAGGAGGAGTGTTTAACATCATAGTAGTTCAAAGAACGTCGTGGGTACATTGGCCCAAGGAGCGGGAGTTAACAGAAGTCCTCAAGAATGGGAGTCAACACGTATTTGCTTCAGAACTGTCAACTGTCACGTGTCATGTAATTGATAAGTGCATGTAGGTGAGGTAGACGACCTTAACGATATTTCAGATGGATCATAGCCGCGACTAGCGCTGCATCAGTAGACAAAAACACAGAACTGTAGTAAATGCTAAAGAAAGATATTCTTAACCCTTTCGTTGGAATTCGTCACCAACTCTCCCATTTCCGGCGTATGCACTTTTTCTGACCTAATAAGGCAAAGCACCGAGTGATAGAAATCAGGGTAAATGTCCTTTTTAATCGTGCTCGCGTTCGTCTGCTATTACCGTGGCATCCCAAGGCATTCCTGAAGGGGATGCAAACTTATAATACTAATGCAGAATGTGCATTTTTAAGGCACAGTAAGAATTGAGGCTACCGACGTGACTAGAAGGTCAGGAACAATGGTTTGGCCTCAAGGTGACCTATCATGAAAATGAAGAAATAAACAGACATTTAATGTACTGGACTGAGTGACCAAATCAATGTGCATTCTTCAGCAAGTTACGATTGGTAGCATCTAAGATGAATGCATACAAATGTTATGAAATGCAACATTAAGATAGAATAATTATTTTACTTACAATTACGATCCCATCGTACTATTCAACAAGCGTGAAATGGACTGCTAGGAACTTTCATTCAATACTTGTACAGTGAAGCTACAAAATAGAGGCTTGAGATTGTAGGGTAAGAGAAGAAAATAGTTCAAAATAGCAAACGTTGAAGCAAAGGAGAAAGGCAGGTGGGAAGGCAAAAAAATTGCTAATTAATCGTCAATCAGCGTTGGCGCTACAGAAGAGCGGCTTTAGACCCCCCCGCCACTTCGCGAAACTGGAATGGCAGGACGATTGAGGACACTCTTCAATGTGTGGTGTGGAACAGCACCGGTCTTTAGGGAGCTCATAAACTGCAAAATGAAGAACTGGTTGAGTAATTGTTAGGACCATCGGGTAATCAAAAAAACAATGTGCTTCTTTATAACGCAGTCGCAAATGTTCTCCTTGGCATTGTGATGGATGCATTTTAAAAAAGTAGCACCCAAAGTTGTTTTATGAATTTGTGCGCACACGGTCTTAAAACAGGCAAAGGATAATTGAAAATTCTGGTGTCTAGAATGTTCCACTAGCAAGAACCGCTTGGATTTTAGGTACTTCATTTATACAAAAGGACATAAAGAAAATATCACCGACTAATGAATGTGGAAAGTTGGTTTCCTGCGCCTAATTTCCAGATTTGTTGTTAAAGCATTTAATCAAAGAAAAAAAAATGTTGTGCAAAAATTAGGTTGGTGTGCATTGCATTCTTGTAAAAATAAATGGTGAAGCATGAAAAAAATGCATTCTTAGACAAAGTGGCAAAAAATCGTGCTTGTCATGGCTAAATCAAAGCTGAGTATGGTGGCAACACACCTTCAAGAACGATAACAAGATGCAATTTACCTCAAAAAATTCGACCTGGTCGATTTCACCGTTTCGGTCCAAATCAAGATCAGAGAGAATGTTTTCCAACGTATCGTCGCTTACACTCTCACCTTGTTTCTAAAATGCAACAAACAAAAGTAATTAGCATGTCGGTGTTTTGGCATGTTGTTTATCGAAGTTTCAGTTTCTGCCGAAGGGCTGGTGTCCAAACCATGCAAGAAGTTCCCAATCCCTTCTGTATCTCAAGCACGCAGTAATAACTCCAGCATTGCCTTATTTTGCCTTAAAGAAAATTCTGAGGTGCTACACAACAGTGAACTCTTAGGGTACATGGGTGCATGGATAACTACCTGTCTTTAATCTTAACTGAAGGGCGTAGATGATAATTTATTTTCTTTTACTTTTTGTGCTCCTTACAGTTATCGGTACACGTACATCACACAAGAGTTACTTTAAGTGATTATAGGCTAAAACTTTCTTACCCTCATTAACGCAATTGAGTCACTTAACTATCAGCCAGAAAAGAAATGTGCTTCTGACACCAAATTCATGAGGATCTAATGATGTTCCGTTTGCTCAAATAACGACTATGCCTGTCATTGCATATGAATCGGAAGCGTAGGCAAGAGTGAGACAAGTAATGCCATCTGAATTAGGCATAGCAAATGACCGTTTCAGAATCTGTGGTTAACAAAACACTGTCATAATTTTGGTTCAAATAGAGCTTGTGATAGTGAAGCTACAAAAAAACAAAGAAAAGTAAAAGGTTGAAGTTTAGTGTGATTTCGAGTCACCAAAGGGACACACAAAGCATAGCGCACTCCACAATGTTGGCCAAAAAGTACATTAAGGGAAGGACAAAACAGGAGAGCTAACATGACATTCCTCATACTAACCGTGAAGAATTTGCGGAGGTCGTTCAGAGTGATGTAGCCCTTGCCATCAACATCAATAGAACTGAACTGCTTTCTTATAGTCTCCACTTCCTCCATAGAAAAGTTGGCAGGAATTGTCTTGACGCGTTTCATATCAAGACCCATCTCCGTTTTGAGGAAATTCTAAGTAAACACAGAAAAAAATTAACATTCTAAAAAGAATTGAAAGGTGTGATCAACAGCATCTACCATTGTGTTCTCAAATTCTCTCTTCTTGCGTTGTGCGGACCAGTTGAGTTCAGCACCCATCAAATCAATCAACTTGGGCAGGATCTCCTCTGCAGCCCTGACGTCCAGAAAGGCCAGACGCGTCCTTCTGGCAAGAAAATCAATGGCATTGCAGGCATACTGGTGGCATGCCTCTATAACCTTAAAAAGAAGGTGGTAAAATTGATCATGACTGGCAGTGATTGACGTTTACTAGGAAGTTCAAATGTCAGTATTCAGTCCACCAATCATATTTAGGATTGATCACATTTGATTCATTTGGCCTCAATACTTACACTACAGCCTTGCAAATTTATGCTACCTTGCTTTAACCTTGCATTTATTTGACGCAGGTGAATATTCCTCTACCGATTTCCTGGACTTTGGGTTCAATGAGTCAACTAGCGGCACGATTTTTCACGCACTGCGTTAATCAAGTTTCATTATGCCCTAACTCTTAACAAACTGCTTGAAAAGACTAATCAGAATTGAACATTGTCACTTCTAAAATATTTGAGAGGGAAACATTTGGCCAAAACAACGAAACCCATTGTCACAGAGAGCTCCAATGTAGGCTCGCACCGTTAGGGATGGCACAAAACCGCAAATTCATGTGGACAATACTACATATTAGGGGTGTGAAACCGGTAGATGAATGTTAATGAAAAGACGAATGGTTACTAAGGGCGGCTTATTGTAGTGAAGCTTACAATTTATTGGAAAAGGATTCATTTAAATATAGCAGTGCTAAATAGATGAGAATATTTTCACTGAAATAGCAGGTTTGTCATCTATTTGAATTCATTGCTCAAATACTAACCCTGCTCGAACTCCCAAATGTATCTTTAATGCCTCAGTCATAACTCTTCAATGACTAACCTCAGCTTCAATGATAGGGAAGTCGGGATGAAGTCGGCGTCCTGCTAGAGGGTAGCGACGACCAGTGAGTTTGGCCTGTTGGGCAATTCTAACAGCATGACCGCCATAAGTTGAGGCGAGGTGGATGGCCACATCACGGTCAATGCCGTACTCCTGGGACAGTTGGATGAATAGATTGGGTGACCACCCATGCGCACCGTTTAGGCGCAAGCCCACAGTGCGACACTTTGATTTCGGCTTGAGACCGCATACCTGCAGATCATGAAGGACACTTCCTGAACTTAAAAATTAGGCACTCATCTAGCATGATCCCCGAGCATGCCATGGCTGAATGCGGAATATCAAATTCAGTAGCGTATTTCTTAAAAAAATGATCGAGTGTGGAGACGCTTACAAGTTAAAAATTGCAAAACCAAACACATTTAAAAGATAATGACGTGAAATTGACATATAAAGGGAAACGACAACCATAAATCCCACATTTCGGCCCAGCTTTTAATTTATAAATGAACTAGTCTCCCAATAAAAATGTGTAGACAGAGCTATCCACCCAGTACAATTCTGAGACATTGGTAAATTCGTCCATTCATTTAAGAATTTACAACTTATTATAGAATCACAACATGCTTAGGTTACTGAGACTTCTGACGCGTGTAAAACTAATAAATTCATCTAGTGAATGATTCGGGTTACTACTAACATTTTAATGGGTACCGAAATTGCGATGTACCCGCCTTGGAGGATATCCTCATTAATTAAAGCACCATTAATACTATGGCTTTTAAAAGTGACTGATAAGGATGTGTCGCCCTGTTAGTCAAACGCAGTAAAATAATCAGGCCATGGCAACGAAAGCCAAAATTAAATTTTGTCTTGGGTAAAACGCATTGGTGTTTGTTTATGCCTCCAAGTGTTCTAAACACCTCGCACTTAGTTCTGTCCCAAAATAGCATCAAACAAATCTTTACACTGCAGTAGGTTCATAAGTAATATGAAATTATTTAGCCTCGGCAACATGCACACTTCTAGAGGGAAACAATGTGTACCACGAATCGAAAACAAATGAGCTTTAAAATGATTCACCTTAACACATTTATCCACCGTCTCCTCAGCCATTTTGCGATATGTGGTCCATTTCCCTCCAGCAATTGTGATCAAGTTGTTCTCACCCACCGTGATAACATGGTTACGCGCAATTGATTGTGTATCCTTGGAAGTGGGATCAGAAACCAGTGGACGAATCCCCGACCACACAGAGAGCACATCACCCCGTCGAACTGTCAAGACCATCAAAAATTATTGCTACACCGCACGTTTCCCTTTAAAGCAGTCAATCCAAACAGACACGCCTGCCTTTAAGATCAGGTGATAGATAGCTTTTAATTTCTGAGAGAATGAATTGAACATCGTCATCTGTTGGTTCAGGCGAAGTGGTCACCTTGCAAGGGTGATCTGTAGTTCCGGCTACAACGTGACCAAGCCAGGGCAGGAAGAAAATGACACGTCCATCGGTGGTGGATGGATCCAAAAGGCCCATGTTCTCCGGACTAAAATGGCACAATAAGAAGTCGATTAACACTTCACGATACACAGCATTTTGAAGGTCATAAATATGTACCTGTAATAGTTAGGAAGGACGATGTGGACACCAGAGCTGGGCTGACAGATGAGATCAAGTTTATCATTCTCCATTTTGCGGATTTCGTCGGTAAAGGGACCTGTGGCATTGACAATACAACGAGCGCGGACAACGAATTCCTTGCCTGAAAGGAGATCGCGGAGGCGAGCCCCATTGACGACCAATTTCGGCCTTCCAGAGGCATCTTTCTGCTTGGGATCATCGCTTGGTCCCTTGAGCAGTTCCACGACCTCTACATAGTTGGCAATGGCGGCGCCGTACCGACTAGCTGTAAAGGCGACGTCTAGACACATTCGTGCATCATCGTGTTGACCTGAGTGGAGTCACAAGGGATATCAAATTTTCGGCAGAAAAAAACGAAAAAAGACGTACGTTTAGAAGTCTTAAGCGAATGAGCATATGTCCTTAAGCCAATTGGACTAATAATTATTACAATCAAAGGTGAAAATACGCGGGATAATCACAAAAATTCGAACACAGTATTGTTTATCTAGAAAGCATTGCAAAAATTAGAATTTGTTGAGTTTATGTAGATAATAAGAACAAAAAATAACTCTACGGAGTGCTTGGAATCGGCATATTATCGAGGAGATATTCTGTTTTCAAAATTCAAGTGCTATTTCACTTAATCTTGCAAGCTTCCATCAGTTTTCTCCGAGTTGACAACAAGTAGCACCGTACTTAAAGTAGTCACTGTTTACACTGCACAAACGACCAGATTAAGTTGCATGGCTTTATACCCTTCATTTTGCAAACGTAATGACGCCACACTGTGCCGGCTGCGTCACGACCAAAGGAAATAAATGTCACGTCAACTAACCATCGTAATATACGAGAGCACCTTTCAGTTTTTCTTCTTTTAGGTGTGGGAATATCTCCATAGAGCGTGATTTGTTGAGGAAGTAGCTTGACTTGAGAATTTGGGTGCCGGAGACCAGATCGTACATTTTAATGCCCAGCCAGTAATAAGGTACTTGCCACCATCTATACAACAGAACAGACTGCGATAACATCGAATTTTTGTACTTTACAAGTTAAACTCAGATGAAATTTGTAGTTAAAGGTTGTGGGAGAGGTAGATACAATCTCATACCTCCTAAGGAGTGTATTCACATGTCGCATGTTGAGACGGCTTGCTATACACGTGCCAAGAAAGTCGACTATGCTAGCAATTTGTAATGCGTCTGTAGCTTGCCTGACGCATCTTCCGTTCTTGCATGCACACATGGAATGCCAGTCTGCCTGTTGAGCCAGTCATAGATACCTCTCTCAACAGGACACAGACCATTTAAAACCAAAGTCCGTATTTCAAACGTTTTAAATAAATATGACTAAAAAGGGGATAGAAATCCGATAAGATGTCTTACTTATGGACTTTTGCATGACCTCCTTTGTTTGTATTTGATGTTTAGATTGGTGTTTGATAACTTCAATGCAAAATCAAACCCAATTGCCTCCTGTCATTAAGAAAAAATGTGATGAAATGTTTACCAAGCAAGCAATCAACATCCCCTGCCTTACTATGGAAGAGCAAGACGCTAATAGGCACACAAGCTACAAATTAAGATTACCGCAGACAGCACTTGTGGGAACTCCCAAAAGTAACAACCGGAAATTAAAAGAACTATTCCATCTGAAGACGTTGATAAAAGGAAATCTTCTTGACACGCCTAACGTTTAATACCGCGGTAATTTAGCTACGAAATACTAATGGTTCTGAGAAGGATCTTAAAGCGCAGTCGGCTTCGTTTATCAACAAGGTACATATGAAATTGGAAAAAGAAGGCAGACGTAGATGTATTAGGCAGTACCTGTTGCCACACCTGGGTGTGTCACCATAAAGACTACTGGTACCCAATATTCAAACGCTCCATGATTAACTTCTCCCCTGTGAAGGTTTAATCTTAGTTTCATTTTATTAATTTTAGAAAGACTTAGGGTAAATAAATGTACGCAGAATCTGTACTTTAAATGATCTTAACTATCGTAGTGACGTCTAACCATTTAAATAATGGGGGACGAATGAAATACTAATGCCTATCGGTTTTATCACACTGATACGCAAATAACGTGCTAACCTTGTTAGAGCTCATAGATATCAAAATGCTTGAAGGCACAAACAAAGAAATCAAGAAAATTGAAGCAACACTTTCTACGTACTTTCATCCGCAGTTTCAAAGTGATAGAAATATCACAATCGGTACGATGAGCGAAAAAGTTTACAATGGCAGCTAAGTGCTTTACACCATTTTGGTCAAAAACGATAAACAGAAGAGGAAGAGTGAAATACACCACATACTTGTAAATAGGTAGCATGATAGGAAGCGGATGGGCAATATGCGGAGCGATGTCGAGGAGGTTGGCCCGTTCACTTAGAGCCTCACGCACCATACGGTATTGCTCCAAATCTAAATTGAAGACGGCCTTTTGGAGGTAACGCACACCACCGTGGATCAGCTTTGTCGAACGACTTGACGTGCCAGAGGCAAAATCCTGCTTTTCCACCAGACAGGTGGTCAAACCTAGAGAAGAGAATATGCGTTTAAGGTAAATATATGAATACAGCGGGAGATATAGTTTGCTGCTGAAATGAAAGAATGAACTATTACGATTCCTTTTGGTAACGACTGATTGAGATCTCACGAGCACGGGTGCAGAGCATGAAGTCAACAATTTTATTCATGCTATGACTCGCAGTTTGCACTTGCTTATAAGCGGTATCGAGAAAGCCTCTGCATAAATTGTAGTATTTGGACATACTCTTTTTCATTTGCAGTAAAAATGAATTGTGGATAGAACTGAATCGCACCAGCTAGGCTGGAAGACCAAGTAGTTTAGTGCTGCGTATTCCCACTATGTGCCGAGCTATCAGAATGTAATATTGTAGATGGTGCTGCGGTTATAGTTAGCCAGCCGCAAACATTATTCTCAAACTGCAAATCCAATTAAATAAATCAAATACAATGGTTCATCTTTCAAATTTGCTGTCGTTGTTCTGTGATTTTTATGGCCAACGTTTTGTAAACACTTAAGGCAGAAGGAATGCTGATGTGTTCATTATTGTAACAATCTCAGCAAGCAGTTGTGCATGTTGCAAATGATTTAGACACCACGGCATACATTCGAGTTGCTGTAAGCCTCAGAGGTCATGAAGTTAAATTCCGTGAGGTCTCTACGATTTAAATAAAAATTGGCAATGGTAACTCCTTAGTGGTGATGGATCTAAGTTGTTAAATCACAAATGCAAGTGGCAGACAAATTCTCAACCGTCTTATCATCTGGTTAGTATGAAAAAGTGCAGCAGCATTACTTCTCATGCACATGAACCCGCATATCGCATAAATAATTGACAAGTAAAAACACTGCAATCTTCTTTGGAGACGTAGTAATAGGGTAGTAAGGCGGTCACACCTCATTACCATCTCCTCCCATTTTCGAGTAATAAAACTCGATGTTTTGCTGTTTGTCAGCCCTAACAACTAGCGTTGGATGAACTGTTAGAATAGAATATATTGATGACATATTGTAACATACTGACCTCGAGTAATAGCATCTAGCGCAACACCTGTGCCGGTGGCTCCACCTCCAATGACCAAAATATCAAAGACCTCGTCACCTTTCATCATGCGATTGATATTTTGTTGACGGCTGGTGAGAGGTCCACGAAAAAGCGCAAGTTCCTCCTCCGGTGGAGGTTTGCGAAGTCGAGTAGCCTAGAAAATGGCAGTAGTACGCTATAAAATATCCTGAATTGGCACTGTAATTCTTTTTAAACACTATTCATGCTTATTAATGCAAATGAAGGAGATATAGGCGGACAAAGGCACGAAAAAAAGAGAACAAATGGGTTCAAAGGATTGTAATAGGACTTACGCGCATTCTTTTAGCTTCCAGCATTTTCGGTGCATATTCCATAAGGGCTAAGGTTCCCAAACCTGCAGCTGTGCCGGTCATCACTAAGCGCTGCCATGTTAATCGAAATCCAAAAATTTTCATTGCCATTCGGATTTTAATTTGGTATTCTAAAATTGCAGCCTTTAGGTTCGCTCAGAGTACACAGATGATTAAAAAAGACGATTTTTACAGAACATTAAAATGTTTAACTTTTGGCCCTTGGGTAGACAACGCCTCATGAATTGCCATTCGATCTACTCAGTAAAATAACCACAAGGAGATAGAAAACCAATAAAAATCAGTCATCAACTATATCAATGCTCTAAAGATGAAAAAATTAATGTGATGAATCGTACATAACCTGATAGGTACATCCTTAAAATTAATCAGCAAAAATTGTGGCAGTCTAAATATAAGCTTCGGCACAATGCATCCTCACAAGATAAGAAGAATATTAGTTAGTAGCAAACATCGAACGTACATAAAGATTTTACTTTCTAGTCCTAAATAATTAAAGAAAACAGACGTTTCACACTACTCCCGGATCAAACAGTAGAAATCGCAAAACGATACCGATATGGTGAATAGACCCTCAATATCTAGTTCGCTAGCTTAACAATACACCTAGTAAGAGTAATAAGGACGCTAACAATGTAAAGACAACCAACCTTAAGCTAAATAAGTTTTCGATAAAAAAGCGTGCAATTAACAAAGCCGCCTATACTCCGCCCCTACAGAAATACAACCAATTGATTAAACATAACACCGACATTGGCAAAAAAATCCCCCTTTCCCATTGACTTATAAATAACAGCAGAAATATTGATCATGCGATAGTTTTGCTATTTATTTAGAATTTTAAGGGGGGAACAATGGTAGGATTAGAATTTATTTTGTGCTAGGAGGGCAAATTGTCCTACGAAAGCCGAGACACCCAAAGCTTTAAAATGTACATGTCAAAGGAATAAAGGATAAGGTTACAAGAATTGCAATATTATTTGTTTGATTAATTGCATTTTGACAGCCATTTTGCGTCTAGGGTGTGATATAACCTCTTACCATCTGCCCTACTATATCTGCTTGGCCATGCATATTGAAAAGTTTTCAGTCGTGATGTTAAGAAGTTTGCATCCCAAATTGAGGAGCAGATGGAAAGTGTGCGATTTCATCTCAGACGGAAGAACCTCTGCTATCTTTGCAACAAAAGGTTAAAAAAGATGTGTGCGTTTGGCTCCCCTTGTCCTCTTGTTCCATAAACAAGCTAGCACCGCCTTGAATCATCTGGAAAAGCTTCGTGTCCGGATTTCCCTACTACTGAATATGCATACAGGTGTCCGAATTGATACTGCGGGTCTTCTTATATGTGGGACTGTGTTTTCATTGTAACACATGTTTTAAACCAGAGTTCCACGTAACCCTAGGGTCAGATAAGAGTGCTGAGGAGACCAAGTACCCTTCCTCATCCTCATGGCGGCTGTTTAGTGGCGCAAATGGCTCGTGGGCGCCTTTTTGGCGTACCGAATATGTTGTGATGGCTGGTGCAGGAGGTGTACCAAGGGAGTGCCGAGGAAGTTGCTCAAAAGAGGAGGGGAGCAGTGTAATACATCGCTTATTTTGCTAGCTGGTGTTCGGCGGTTGCTTTGAGGATCATCAGTGTAGCGTCCCGAGGCTTCCAATGGGGTAGTAGAAGGCATAAGTGAGGTTGAATGTATGTATTCCGAAAACAGTAGGAGAAATGGCGGCCTGAGCGTGGTCCGAAGGCCAGCCCACGTGTACAGGGTGCAGACAAGTTCTAAAGTGACCGCCAAACTTCAGATAGTCACATAAACAAAGCATTACACTGACCGACGTCCCCGGCGCTCTCCTTTGGTACATCTCCTGCTCCAGCCATCACAACATATTCGGTACTACAATAAAGCATCCACGAGCCAACCGCGCCAGTAGACAGACAATGCGAGAGCGTGGAACCGTATCTGATCTTCTCGGCAGCCTCAACGGGATCTGGAGTTCCGTTCGGTCTGACAACCAGATTCGGGGACCCCTGCATCTGTCGACCATCAATTGCTTCCAGAAATACACGGTGGAACTCTGGTCTACAACAGATATGTTACAGGGATAAGGGGACGGGCCACTGTCCCGTATGCGAGGAGATCCGTTGTGTCATTTCCGACACCTAAACACGGGTTCTGTATGAAAAATTCCCACACGAAACTTTTCCAAATATTTCAAGGCGGTGTCGCTTCAGTTGTTAATAGCTTGTTTGTGGAACACGGGAATAAGGTGAAACCAATGCAGACGTCAGTCTCAACCCTTTCGTTGTGAAGGGTCCAGGGATCCTCCGTCTTCACGGTAAATGCGTCCCCTTCAATTCACGTCCTGTTTTCGCCTGTATCTTTATCTACTGCACTTC